ATATATATATATATATATATATATATATATATATATATATATATATAAAGGTGAACCCTGAGGATATATAGAACTGTAATTTGTTCAGACAATGAACAATCTAAACTGTTTCAGTTCAAATCAAAGTGTATCTCAGCCAATGAGTAAGTACGTTAAACCTGCATTCTCTCTAATGTCCACCAGGGGGCGACTCCTCTGGTTGTATAGAAGTCTATGAGAAAATGACTCTACTTCTCTCTTGATTTATTACCTCAGTAAACATTGTAAACATGAGTTTATGGTCTCAATCTCTAGTTTCAAGTCTTCTTCAATACAGCATGATGTTCATTTCGTAAATTATGGTCCATTTAGTGTCAAACAGACCATAAAGCAGAGTATGCTTTAGGGCGGGGCTACACAGTGATTGACAGGTCTCTACCACAGCGTTTTCCGGTCTGGGAGTTGTCCGTGTTTTCGTCTTACAACTTTAACCCTTTCACATTTTAGATCATGAAAGTAATTTGTAATATTTTTGGTCTGCTAAAAATGTCAGTTGTACTTAGCTCCTCCCTCTCATGTCACGAGAAACTTGAGTCAGAAAGTCCGCAGAAACAATGGCTGACGTCACGGTGATTATGTTCACGTCTTATCTAAGCAGTTATCTGTTATATATAATTATTTAGATAATGTAATGCCATTAAAACTTTCACAGACCCCATCCATCCTGCTGGATGCCAGTTATGCAAATATAAAATGACCAGAACTCAACAAGTCTGGCGATATTCTTTCTACGCCAACTATGAGCGTGAGGATGAAGGACTGAACCAGGTGGTGAGAGCACTGAGAGGCTCTGAGATGCTCTTTGAGAAGAGGAAAGAGCCTTAACATGATGCAAGCATTTACGGATCCGAAGATAACACTCTGGGCTGCTGCTTTAATCCTCTAAAGCCCGACTCATGCTTCCTGTACAAACAAACAGGGTGGAGTTCATATCAAAAGGAGATCACAAACGTTTGGCAGGGTAGCACTGAAGTAACATATTTGCATTGTTTAATCTGAATGAATGCAGGTTTTATAATAGCTGGCACCGGCACAGATTTACAGCATATATGGATTTATTGTTGTTCAATAAAAATTGCACACAACAACACGCTAGCTGCTTTTGAACGAGGCTTCATTTCATTACGTAGACCAAACAGAAGTGTGTTCACCAAGGTACACGGTGTCGCTCCTGCATTCATGTCACACCATTGGATGGCCTCTCAGAAAGGCTTTTAAAAGCCTCAGCTGAGTGCTCGGCCTTCATCTGTTCACCGTAGACTCCCTTCAACCGTGGCACAATAAAATCAATGCAAAAGCATCGACTCAGCATCAAACAAACAAGCAGCATCTAAACCAGGCCTAAGATCAATCCGAGGGGTCGCAGGGTCACTAACGCGAGAGAGAAGCCAGAAAACATTCGGATCATATTTCTGACTCTTTTCTTGTGAATTCATGAATCATTTCACTTTCTTTTTTTTTTTTTTTTACTCAGAAGGAAAATCACTCTTTTGTTGAACTGGTCACAACTTGCCGACACATGCAACCGCTGGCGTTTAACCTGAAAGTGAATCACATAAATCTGTTCTTTCACAGGTATCCAACTTTTGGACGTTTCTCGTGCAGAAACTTGTTTCTGAGAGTTTAACACAGCACAGCGATACAAACTACAGTTATTTAATGAACCTCAATTTGAAAAATCTGCTGTTTAGAGGCAGTTTCTTTAAGGGTCACGGGCTAAAATGTTTGGGAGCTGGTGTTCCAAACTTAAATATTACATAATTATCTAAAATTTGATTTAAATTATTTGAAAAAGGGGCCAAAACATAAACTTTTAAGTTATACAGTGCACTTCATCTCTAAAACATCTTCAATTTAACATCCTACTGCTTGTTTCTTCATGCTTTGTTTCAGTTCTATACTGCAGATTTCCTGTTTCATCACACTTGGATCAAACTACAATGATCCACGTTGAGCTCAGCGAACAGTCTGAGGACAGATAGGTGTGCCTGAAAAATGACATCACTGATGAGGTAACCCATACCTGTGAGGAGCTGACGAATGATGTGAGGAGTAAGTGTGTGTGTGTGTGTGTGTCGACTGACTGGAAACACAGTCAGATTTCAGGTGAGATGGTGTGAGAAAGGATATGTGCAGCAGTGTGTGTGTCTGTGTGAGGGTTTGTTAGAAGCAGGTGGCTCGGTCTGTCATTAAGAGCTGAGTCACACTGTGCTAGCATCATTCATGGACACACACACACACACACACACACACACACACACACACACACACAC